CACACACTGTACACACATGCACTCAAACACTCAGGCACGCATGTACAAACACACACACACACGCACACACGCAGACACATGCATTCAGATGCTAACATCCGCACACATGCACACACATGCATTCAGATGCTCAGACATCCGCACACACACGTGCACACACACACATGCATTCAGATGCTCAGACATCCGCACACACACACACATGCATTCAGATGCTCAGACATCCGCGCGCGCACACACACACACACATGCATTCAGATGCTGACATCCGCACACACACGTGCACACACACACAAATGCATTCAGATGCTCAGACATCCGCACACACACACACATGCATTCAGATGCTGACATACACACACACACACACACACATGCATTCAGATGCTGACATCCGCACACACACGTGCACACACACACATGCATTCAGATGCTGACATCCGCACACACGCACACACATGCATTCAGATGCTGACATCCACACACACGCACACACATGCATTCAGATGCTCAGACACCCGCACACACATGTGCACACACGCAAACACACATGCATTGAGATGCTCAGACATCCGCACACATGTGCACATGCAGACACACATGCATTAAGATGCTCAGACATCCACACACACGCAGACACATGCATTGAGATGCTCAGACATCTGCACACACACGTGCACACGCAGACACATGCATTCAGATGCTGACATCCCCCCCCCACACAGACACACATGCATTCAGATGCTGACATCCCCCACACACACGTGCACACACGCACACACATGCATTCAGATGCTGACATCCCCACACGCACACAGGTGCACACACACAAACATACATTCGGATGCTCAGACACCCACACACACATTCTCGCGTGCGCACACGCACCAACAGACACATGCATACATCCCCCCACACACACACACATACATGCACACACGTATGCGTGTGAAGCTGTGGAATCTGACCAGGCTCTACGGGTGGTACCGATGCCAGCTTCCCAGGTCTGACACGGCAGCACGGGCAGTGGGTGGGCAGGATGGTACCCCGGGGTGGCTGGGTGAGAAGCGCACCCTCTGTCACTTCCCATGAATCCTGAATGACTTCAGAATAAAAAAAGTGGATCGACTCCAAGAACGAGGGCTCAGGAGAGTTAACAGAAAATTCAGCAGAAAGCCACGCAGAGGCTCCGTCTCCTTCCGAAAAGAGCGCCCTCTGTTAATCAGATGAATGGCAGGAAAGGACATCAGCTTGTCACCTATCACATGAGACCATGCTGTCACCATGTTGACCAGGCTGGTCTTGAACTCCGAGCCCCAGGTGACCCTTTTGCCTCAGCCTCCCAAAGTGCTGGGATTACAGGCGTGAGCCTGACCGGCCACCAGGGACGTTTTCGAGTGAAAAAAACATCCACGGAGGTCAGGCACAGCGGCTCACGCCTGTAATCCCAGCACTTTGGGAGGCCAAGGCAGGCGGATCGCCTGAGGACAGGAGGAGTTTGAGACCAGCCTGGCCAACAGATTGAAACCCCGTTTCTACTAAAAATACAAAAATTAGCTGGGCGTGATGGCGTGCACTTGTGGTCCCAGCTACTCGGGAGGCTGAGGCAGGAGAATCACTTGAACCTGGGAGGTGGAGGTTGGGGTGAGCTAAGACGGTGCCACTGCACTCCAGCCTGGGTGAAAACAGTGAAACTGCATCTCAAAACAAACAAAATCCACGGACCGAGCAATTCCGCTCCCTGACACGTACCCAGAGGAAACCCCCTGCGCCAGGTCACTCCAGGGTTTTCTCCAAGAACAGGACTGTGCTCTGAGACTCGTCATTCTGAGCGTGTGTTACACGCACAGTCGCAGAGAGAGCGACAGGGAAATTAAAAATAGGAAGGACTTTCCTCTCCTGTCAGCGAGCATTTCCTGGCGTCTCTCGTGGCCTTGGATGCTGTCTCTTTTGGCAGGAGATGAGGTGTGTGTCACTCAAAGATCTGCGCCTCAGGGTTTCCAGAATCGGGACGTGGCGGGCAGGAGGCGTACAAAGGTTACTCCCGTTTTAAATGTTTTCCAGTCCAGACAACCGGGAAATCCTGGTTTCCCCTCAGTTCAGCTCTAAGGCCTTTTTTGTTTTGGGACAGGGTCTGGCTGTGCTGTCCAGGCTGCAGTGCAGAGGTGCGATCTTGGCTCACTGCAGCCTCCGCCCGCCAGGCTCCAGCAATCCTCCTGCCTCAGCCTCCCAAGCAGCTGGAACCACAAGTGTGCGCCGCCATGCCCGGCTAAGTTTTGTATTTTTACTAGAGATGGGGTTTCGCTGTGTTGCCCAGGCTGGTTTAAAGCTCACCCTCAAGTGGTCCTTTTGCCTTGGTCCCCCAGAGTGCTGGGATCACAGGCATGAAGCACTGTGTCCGCCCCTTTCTGCTTGTTTGAATTGGGGTCTTGCCATCACCCAGGCTGGAGGGCAATGGCTCAGTGCAGCCTTAGAGATCCTCCTGCCTCAGCCTCCTAAAGTGCTGGGATTACAGGCATGAGCCACCTCAGCCAGTACCTGACTCCTCTTGACACCAATTTCTAAGTATTAACAAACGCCGCAGAACAGGCAGACCCTTCACGAGGCAGAGCTCACGGTCAGTTCGTCTTCAGGCACACCTTTCGCGCCTGCCTGGGCTTCTGACTCTCAGATCTGAAGTTTCCCTTCAAACGGGTTTAAGAGAAGCGAGGTGACTTAAAGGGGAGCCCAAGCAGGCTGCGTGAGGAAGGGGCAGGTGGAGAACACAGCCGGAGGACCCCATCAGCACTGGGGACTCCTGGCGAAGGGCGGGGTGGCCACAGCCACCGTTCCAGGGAAGCGGCGGAGGTTTGGGAAGGGATCGCACAGCTCCGGGGCTCCATCCTGCTAATGAGCCCCAAACTCCCATCTTCCCGGGTCTTGGAGAATAGGAAGAGGAGGCGGCGGCGGCGGAGAAAAACGATTGCAGGTCCGGGCCCTGCCAGGACCCCTCCACCCGTCGTACCCACCAACTCACTGAGCCCGAAGATGGAACGGGTGGCCATCTTGTGTGAGCTTTGGAGGGGGTGCTGCATCCAGGGCCAGCGCCACAGCCTGCAGGGGCCGGAAGAGTGGCGGCAGTGATGGGGGGGGTGGTGCCACCGACTCCAGCCTTGGGGCTCTGCGTCCTGCAGCACCCCAGGCTCAGGCTGGTGTTGACCACATGGACTGAACTGGGGTGTCAGGGGTCACCCGGCTGTGTCCAGGAGCCGGGTGTGGGGGGGCCCCAGGTTGGAGCAGCCACAACACGTCTGTCAAGAGCAAGAAAGGCAACATGCTGTGCCTCCCTAGGCCGCCGAAGGCTCCGCCCCATGTTGTGGCGGGACGAGGCAAGACCCTCCCCACCTACAGCGTTGGGGCAGGGCCAGAGGTCCTGAGGCGGCTGTAAGGAACCACAGAAAACCAATCTGCTAACATCCGAAGGGTCGCTGCTGGGACTGGGCTGGGCATCCAGGCAGAGGCATCCCAGAGGGAGCATTATTCTCAGGGCCAGGCGGCCTGCACACCACGGCTCTGGCTACCCAGGCACCAGTCTCAAAGCTGGGGGTCCGCGCCAGAGCTGAGGGGGTGAGAGAGGACAGCGGGAGGGAAGACGCTTCCCACCCCTCCTCCACACCAGGCCCTGCTGTGAGCCCACACAGAGGCCTAGGGGGATGAGGATGGACGACCTTGGGAGCTGCGCCTCCTCCTCCAGGAAGCCCCCGGGGCTCGACCCTCTGCCTCACGCAGGGAAGCTCAGCATGTGCAGTTCCTGAGGCTGTTTCCGGGGGGCTGGCGGGGTGTCGTTCGGGGATTTCCATGCCTTAGGGAGCATTCCGGCCAGCCCTGGGGCCACTTCCTCAGGCAGAGGGGAAGGCCAACGCAGGGCAGTGAGGGCAGCAAACCAATGACCCTCCACGTGGGGGTGGGGGTACCCAAGTACAGACCCCCCTCACCCACCACTCAGAACCCCAAGACTTCAGCCAGAGCCCACCCCGGGGTATCCTAGAGATAACTTCAAGACAGAACTTTCTCCCCTGGTCCCGGAGGTGGGAAGGACACAGCCTCAAGGCCCAGTTCCAAGGGCCCCCCACAACAAAGGTGCTGATGTCCTCAAAGACACCGCGAGGCGCTGAAGCAGCATCGGACACCTGCCCCAGCCCCCCACCAACTCCTGCCGACAGCCAGCGTGGGCCTCCCACGGTGCACATCAGACTCCACCCTCTCTCCACAACCATCCAGGGCTCCCTGCTGGCCCCGATACAAAGACAGTGGCCCCACACCCCCACCGGTGCTGCCTCCGGGCTTCTGCAGGGGCTGTTCCCACTGCCTGGCACTGTTCCCCGGCCCCTTGCTCTCACCCTCAGGGCTCTGCCCGACAACCCTCTACGGACACCTTCCCCAGAGTCCCTGCCCTGGGGCCGCCTGGCCCTGGCTAGGGGTGCCGTGAAATCCTGGCCATGATTTGGTCTTGATTTTCAGGATTTCCAGAGGTCTCCCCCATCTGTCCCGCCCACCGTCGGGTCACCGGGGAGGGTGACCAGCTCTTCCACATCCGCCTGGGATCTTTCTTATCTGAGCACTCAGAGTCCCAGGTCCCAGGAATCGCCCCTCAATCCCGGGCAAACCTGGTGCTGGGCCCTGCATACAGCAAGCGCCTAATCCATGCTTAAAAGAAAGCAGTGGAGGCTCACCAGGTGGGTAGGATGCAGTGAGCTGGGATTCTGCGCCACGACCCTCCAGGGCCTCAGTTTCCCCCTTGTGGATGGCTGGAGATCCTCACCCAGACAGAGGCCCAGCCCCAATCCCATCCTAACAGCAAGCCCCCCCCTCCCCCCGCCCCAGGCTCCAGGGATGTGCGGGTGGGAGCAGCTGATTCTGGGGGTCCACAGGCTCGCTGGCCCCTCCCCGGCCTCATGCACCGCCTTCTACACACCCTCCATCTCCACCCCACCAGCGCCGGCAGGAAGGAGGGGTCCTACCTGAAGCTCCGAACTGCGCTCCGGCCAGGGAGGCGGGCCGGCCCTTCCCATTGGTGACAGGCAGCGGAAACATCTGCAGGGAGGGAGGAGTGAGGTGAGCGGGGTGGGCTGCAAACCAGACCCCAATCCCAGCTAGAACCCAGGCACGGGGCAGAGCTAGGGACCCCCAGGGACCTGGAACCAGCCTCCACCTAGGCGCATCCTGTCCTGCTCCATCCCACTAGAGACCAGAGGACTCTGAGGCCCCGCCGCACCCCAACACCCACGCCGCACCCCGACACCCACGCCGCACCCCGACACCCACGCCCAGGGTGAGGAAACTCCAAAAACCATCCTGCTGCACCGCCAGGCACAGCAACCCTGGAAGGGAAAATCTGCTGTTTCCCCCCATTCACTTTGGGGGGTGGAGCATCCCGTTTAGACTAAAGATACAACTTAACGGCTCTCACAGTGATACAAGGTTGTGTTTACAAGTGACATAAACTTGTCCTCACTTGCCAGCTCTGGAAAGGGAGAGGTTCACCCAGGACAGGTGGACATGAGTCCCCGGACGCCTGAGGCCTGGCTGGCTCCCCATTTCGGGTATGTGCACTGGCCCCGGACGGCAGGGCCTGCAGCAGGGGGTGGGGCTCAGTGTCCCCTACCAGGGCTGGGTATGGGTTTGCCTGGCAGAAGGGGAAACTGAGACGCAGACAGGCAGCAGGTTGAAGACATGGGATGGAGCCCGGGGCCTGCAGGAAGCCGGAGGGGCTGGGGAGAGGCCGCACCCCACAGCTCATCCGAGGTCTGGGTGAGAGGGGTGTAGGACTGCCACCTTCCCCCTGCCCGGGTCACCGGTACCCAGGGCACTAAGTCCCTCAAGATTAAACAGCTTAGCAGCATTAACCGGAAGAGCCAACATCAACGAAACCCTTTGCCACAGAAAAAAACAAAACCCTCTCTGCCCTGCCCTTCCCCAGGGGGCTGGGTTTGAAAGCTCCCATTCGGGGCTCGAGGGGTCAAAGCGGCTGGAATCGGGGCCAGGGGCTTTTTGAGGCGCGGCCAACCCGACCATCCCTGAAGCCTTCCCGGGCCAGGCAGGAGGCGAAGGCATGGCGCTTGTGCCACGATCATTACACCAAAGAGGACCCAGGAAGTGGGGTTCCAGCCCCCTCCCTGGTTCCACAGAAGGGGAAATGGAGGCCTCACTCTCACCTGGCCCCCAAGAGGAAGAACAGCCACGCGGGCAGGGCTGGCAACCAGGTTGGAGGCAGAGTTCGCCCAGGACCGCACCGCTCCCACCGGCTCAGGTGTGCCCGCCTCTCCCATTTGGGAGACTGAGGCCAGCCATGGGGGACAGGCAGGCCTGAACCAGCCCATGTAAGGAGCTGCAGCCGACTGCATCTCTATTTGCTTTGCCCCCAGGACGGCAGGGCTGTGCTGACGTGGCAGGGGCCACAGGGTATCGGGCTGTGCCCTGTGGGTTCCGCAGGCCTCGTAAGTAGCCCAGAAAAGCCCCCGTGCCACTTGGAGCCTCGGCTTCCTCTTCTGTAAAATGGACTCAGGCTCTGGCTGCGTGGGCTGCCGTGAAACCCGAACACCCACGGGGACCTGTCTGTGCTGGGCAAGCATGGGTGCACTCCTGGGCTCGGGACTAAGCCCGGACTCCTGCCAGAGAATGCCTGGGACCCATGCAGGGCAGGACAGGGCAGGGCAAGGCAGCAGCCCCCAGCCCTTCCTGCCCCTGACAGAGCCAGCCTGGGTCTGGGCAGCACGGTCAGCTTCCTCCCTCATATTTACTCGGAGTGGCCTCTTCTCCCACTTTATGGGAAACTGCACCATGAAGCATCCTGGGGTGGGGGCACAGGGCCACTCCAGGGCTGTGGGCAGGAATTAGGAATGCCTCTGCCCCCCCCACCCAGCCAGCAGGTGAAATGCCAGCTCTGGGTAAGGCCGGAGCGGGGGGACTCTGGAGAGGACACCCACCTAGCTGCACCCAGCCTCAGTTTTCCTGCCTGGGAAAGGGGCAGCTGGCTCCAACCTGAGATGGGGAGACGAGCTGGGATGTGAGGTGAAGAGCAGGTCCTGGGGCCGAACCTGCGCCCCCTCCCCCCAAACCCCGATCCGTTCCGGCCCAGTGGTCTGTGACTTGTCAGTTTAACAAAAACAACCACACTGCACCTTTGGGTTACTCAGCCAGGGAGGCAGAAGCAAAACGGGCTCAAAAATACCAGCTCAGCCCCTCCTGCCCCTCGGCCCGGGGCTGTTTTTTGCTGCAGGGGGGGCTGGTGTTGCTTCAGTTTGGGGACTTCTGTTTTCGACAGACCTCGGTGGCCTGCGCTGCCTCACCCGGGGGAGGATTAAATTCCGACCGAAAGTGCCCTCCCCAACCTGTTTCAACCCCAAAGGCTGCTACTGGGCACGGGGGTGGGGGCAGGACTTAAGCACATCTGCAGACAGGCCAGAAGCAACTGACCCAGGTCCCCGGCTTCTCCAGGAACGCACAGCACGTGGCCCCGAGGCCCTGGGCCTTCATGACGCCCATCAGCGGCCGGTGCCCGACGACGGGACTCCGGGGCTCCAGCCGCACTGTGCCTGCCTGAGCTGACTTCCGAAGGCTGGCACCCTCCGAGCCTCCATCCACCCAGCTGGAAAATGGGCCGTTCAGGGACAGGTCCAAACACCTGGGACTCCCGGACAGCCGCCCTGCCCTCCCCACCGGCCTGCCTGCTCCCCGGTGATGACTGTGACCGTCACCATGGGGGCACCACTGTCTGCTCTAGGCCCTGCATGCTGCACTCACTCCTAACCCAGCCTCAAGCCGGGCTCCCAGAATCCTAACTTCAGCACCCACGTGTGACCAACCTCACAGTCAGCTCCACGCCTGTGTCCTCTGCCCACCAGGGGAGTCCTGTACGGGCCAGGTCGTGCCTGCCCCATTTACAGAGGGTGGTCCGCTCAGCACGGGGCACCTTTTTCTCACTGAAACAGAGCCTTCGTCTAATGCCCAAGAGGGAGAGCAGTGGCACAATCACCCATCACTGCAGCCTCGACCTTCAGGGATCAAGAGATCCTCCTGCCTCAGCCTCCGGAGTAGCTGGGACTACAGGCACATGCCACCATGCCTGACTAATTTTTTTATTCTTTTTTTTAAGAAATGGGGTTTTGTGCCAGGCATGGTGGCTCATTCCTGTAATCCCAGCACTCTGGGAGGCCGAAGTGGCTGGATCACCTGAGGTCAGGAGTTCAAGACTAGCCTGGCCAACATGGTGAAATCCCATCACTACTAAAAAAAAAAAATAGACAATTAGCTGGGTGTGGTGGCACATGCCTGTAATCCCAGCTACTAGGGAGGCTGAGGCTGAAGAATCGCTTGAACCCAGCAGGCAGAGGTTGCAGTGAGCCCATGTCGTGCCACTACGTACCAACCTAGGCAGCAGGAGCGAAACTCCATCCTCACCCCCACCAAAAAAAATGGGGTGCCACTATGTTGCCTGGACTGGACTTGGGCTACTGGCTTTAAGAGATCCTCTCGCCTCAGCCTCCCAAGTGCTGGGACGGCAGCTGTGAACCACTGTGCCCTGCTTCCATTTACTGAAACACGGTCTCGCTGTCCTCCAGGCTGGAGTTCTGTGGCCTTTTACCTTTAATTTTTGTATCTACAATGGAGTAAACAATCCTATCAGACCCATTTTACAGATCAGAAGATCAACGCTGCAGTTTGCTTAGCCAGCCAAACTGGGGCCCCAGGACCAAGCTGCTGAGGCCAAACCCTCTCCACAGAGAAGTTGAAGACCCTGGGTGGGCCTGCCTGCCTCAGTTTCCCCATCTGTAAAGCAGTGGGCTGTACCATGCTGTGCCCGGGAGAAATCCCCATGGCGCAGGCCCTGCCACCACGTCTCCCTGCCAGAGAGCAGCCCACTCCCCCAGCCCCACCGGGGACCGCCCGTCAAACAGCCAAGGCCCCATCGCAGCAAGTATTCAGCAGACACTCGCCACGAAAACCTTGCTGTGAACTCTGGGGGCAAGGGGTGTCGGCGGCTGGGGGGGGTCCTGGCTCACCATGCTGAAGTCCAGGAGGTCACTGAGCTCCTTGTCCGTGCCCACGGGCGCCATCCTCTGCGGCTGGTTCATTCTCCTGGGACCAGGGTGGGCACGTCAGGACTGGAATCCCTGCGGGGTGGACGTGGGAGAGATGGACAGGGAGAAACAGGGAGGGAAGAAGAGCTGGATGTCAAGGCGCAGAGCAGGGAAGCAGCTGAAAAAGCTCCTCACCTGCCCTGGGAAGCTGAAATGCCAGAGTCTGGGTCCCTGAGACCCCTCCTCAGAGACCACAGGGAGTCTGAAAAATGTGGGGAGGGTGTGCAAATATAAACTCCCTACCTCCCCCAGGGACCACCAGGGAATCAAGTTGCCAATTTTAAACTGCAAACAGCGTGGCCAGAACCTCTCCTTCCTCCACCATGTCTCTCATTTCCAAACCCCCGCCCCCCGCCCCCCGCCCCGCTTCCTCCCAGGCCCCCCCCTCCGGGAAGGGGAGGAACAGCCCGACCCTACTCCCCCCACCAGCAGATGTCACAGCACGTCGAAGACCAGGTTGCCCCTAAATTCGACATGAAGGAAACCCCAAAGTCAGAAAACCACGAAGCCCTTTCACAAACTTCACGACTTGAGGGGGGGAGGTGAGCTTCCCTCAACCCCTGCATCTCCTCCCCCCAGCAAACCCCAGTAGTATTAGAAGGGAAAAAAACAAAACCCTAGGTGGCTTTGCTGCCACCATGTACCCGGGAATGACATTTAAGCAAAACTTTGACATCTCTTCTCTCCTGCCCTACGTGGGGGGTCGTGGGGGTCCCCAGACCAGGATGCCCCCGCGTGGTCCCAGGGGGCTCCATACGAGAATGGGGGATGAGGGATCCACCTGCCAGTCCCCATTCCACCCCCGGAAAAAGGAGCAAAGAAAAATCTTCGTCCCAAAAAAATCCACTCCAGGCCCCTCCAGTTTCGACTTTCCCCAAGAGGTCTCCAGGTGGGGGTGGGGGCGGGGCAGCCTGGGAGACACCTCCCAGGCTGGGGGTGGAGAGGGGCCTCCGAGGTGGAGGGAGACCCAACTTCAGAAGCGGAGAAATCCCCTCTTTGTCTGCCAACTGGAGGCCGGGTGTGAAACGGGCGCCCCAGCGCAGCCCCTCCCCCGCTAAGTTTTTCTCTTTTTTGGAGGGCGTGTGAAACTGACTTTGAGGGCCACGAAACCGCACTTTTTTGTGGGGTAGCTGAAACCGACTTTAAGACACACTTAGCTGAGGGGGGTGGCATGCTAAAAAGTGCATTTCTACGGGAGCTGGAAGACTTCTGGGGCGTCCCAAGGACTTTTGGAGACTTGGAGGATGTTTGAAGTCACTTTGCACGGCGCGGAAGAGGGACCCTGAAACGCCTTTTTCCCAGGGGGAGGCGGCCCAGGAAGCGGGACCCCCCTCCCCCCGCAGCCGGTGCAGGCGGCGCGGCCCGGGAGCCTTTGAAGCTCGCAGCGTGGCCGCCGCCTCGCCCGCATTAACGCGGAGCAGATGTTCCCCGCGCGCCCCCCCCCCCCGGCCCGCCCGGCCCCGACCAGCGCCTGCAGCGCGCGGCACCTTCCCCGCGCAGACAAAAGGACGCCCCCCCTGCGCGCTCCCCCCGAAACTCCGCCGCCCGGGCCAGGCCCCCACAACACCCGGGGAAGGGGGAGTCCCGGGGTCCCCGCGCGCCCGGGTGGCGGGGGCGGTCCTCGCGCCCAAGTTGCTCGGCCCGTCCGACGCCCCCCGCGCCCCCGCCCGGGGCTGCGCAAAGTTTCCCGAAGTGCCCGGCCCGACGGTGGGGGGAACGCGGGCCTGGCGAGCTCCGGGCCCCTCCACGTCGCCGCCCCCAAGGCGCCGCACGAAGTTGGAGAACAATAACTCCCGGGCCCCGGGGCGCCCCCCGACGCCGCCCCCGCCCCGACTTCCTCCGCGCCCGCCCCCCAGCGCGAGCGGGGCGGGCCGGGGTCCCCTGGGCACAAAGCGCGGGGGTCCCGGGCGCGGCCCTCGCCCCCCACCGGGCTCACCTGCTGGGCGCGGCCGGGCACGCGGCGCGCAGGGGGCGGCGGCATGAAGCGGGGCCCCCCCACACAAAGGGGCGTCGCGGCCGGGCCCCCGAGGGTCGCGCGTGGGCGGCGGCGGCGGCGCGCGTGTCCCGGGGCCCCTCCCACCCCGCGTGTCCCGTCCCGCGGGGCCCGTGCGTGCGGCCGGCTGCGGAGCCCTGGGGCAGCGGCGTGCGCGGTGCCCGCGGTGCCCGCCGCCGCGTCGGCTCCGGCCCGCTACGCCCGCAGCCGCCGCCGCTGCCTCATCTTCCTGCGGCGGGAGACATGTTCCGCCCCCCGCCCGCGCCGCCCCGCCCCGCCCAGCGATGGCCCCGCCCCCTCCCCGCCCCCACGTGCCCCGCCCGGCAGTCCACGCGGATCCCTCCGCCACCTTCGGGCGGCTCGGTCTCGAACCTCGCAGCTCGGCCTCCCGAGCGTGCTCGTGAGGTCCCCGAATCCCCGCGATGCCCGGAACTCTGAGGCGCGGACGCGCAGTCGGGGCGGTCGGGCCGCAGCACGGGGAGAAAAGACGGACTATCTCCGCCCGCGGAGGCACACGGAGTTGTGCGCTTAAATGACGTAAGCGGATAAGGACCGTGAGATTGAAAGATAAGGTAGAACTGCCTGACCAATCGGAAGACGAGAAAGCCTGATGGGCGGGGATGCCAGCCATTCGTAATGAGGCCCCGCCTTATCCCTTCTCGGCCCCGCCCCACAGGAGAGGCGGGACTCTGCGAGAGAGAGGCCACGAGAAGCGGCGGGGGTTGGTCCTGGAGTTTTGTTCTCAAGTTGATGTTGCCGCCCGCGCGGCCCCTTAGGCTTGGTTGTATTTGCGTTCCTTGGGCCGGCTCTTCGTGCTGAGTAGTTGGAGCGGGCATCTTGGCCCGTAGCGGGCCACGTCAGACCCATTTTCCTGGCGGGGAAACCGAGGTTCACTCCAGCTTGGGGTCACAGAGCCCCGCGGAGAGCCCGAGCCGTGCCTTTGCCTATCTGAGCCTGCGCCTCGGCATATGTGAATTTGGACCTGAGTTTGCACAGAACTCAGGCCAGATCCGGCTTCCTGATTCTCAGTAGCCCATGTCTGCAGCTTAGTAAAAAGTGACCCCACCTAAGGCCGGGCGAGGTGGCTCCCACCTGTGATCCCAGCGCTTTGGGAGGCCACAGTCAGAGGATCGCTTGAGGCCAGAAGTTCGAGACCAGCCTGGACAACATAGTGAGACTCCCATCTCTAAAAAATTTGAAATAATAATTTAAAAAGTTGACCAGACGCGGTGGCTGACACCTGTAATCCCATCACTTTGGGAGGGCAAGGCAGGCGGATCGCTAGAGGTCAGGAGTTCGAGACCAGCCTCAACAGCATGATGAAACCCCACCACTACAAAAATACAAAAATTAACCTCGTGTGGGGGCACGCGCCTGTAATCCCAGCCACTCGGGAGGCTGAGGCAGGGGAATCACTTGAACCCAGGAGGCAGAGGTTGCACTGAGTGGAGATGGCGCCACTGCCCTCCAACCTGGGCAACAAGAATGAAAAACTCCATCTCAAATAAATAAATAAAACGACATAGAAGTACAAAAATCAGCAGGGCGCGGTGGCTCGCGCTTGTAATTCCAGCACTTTGGGAGGCCGAGGCGGGCGGATCATGAGGCCAGAAGACCCAGACCATCCTGGTCAACATGGTGAAACCCCATCTCTACCAAAAATACAAAAATTAGCCGGGCGTGGTGGCAGGCGCCTGGAGTCCCAGCTACTCGGGAGGCTGAGGCAGGAGAATCGCTTCAACCCGGGAGGCGGAGGTTGCAGTGAGCCGAGATCGTGGCACTGCTCTCCAGCCTGGGTGACGAGTGAAACTCTGTCTCCATAAATAAATAAAACACAATCTCCCAGGGCTCCAAAGAGAATGTACACTCCACTCCCAACCTGGGAAGATGCCACCATCCCGCGGGCCCACTTGGCTCCAGCCACTCTGCCGCCACTGGTCCAGAACCTGCTAAGCTCATCCCCACCCCGGGCCTCCACATCTGCTGTGCCCTCTGGCTGGGGCGCTTTTCCCACCCCCATCTGGAGCCCCTCAGTCATCACAGTTCAGTGCTGCGCCCAGTCCAGGCCAGCAGGGAGGCAGGGCCACAGGGGCCCCCCACCGAAACCAGCAGCCTCTCCTGCCATGCACCCAAAGTGAGCCGTGCACACTCTGACCCTCCGTGCCCAGAGACTCCCCGCACCTGCTGCAGATCTAGGGAGAGGGCTGAGGGTCCCAGGGTGTGCGCTACAATCCCTCATCCCTCTCCACCTCACCGTGACCTCGGGCACGTTCCTGCTACTCTCTGGACCTCAGTTTCCCCATCTAGAAAGTGGAAGGGTAGGCGTTGGGCACAGAGTAGGTGCTCACAGCTGATGCCTGCCTCCCTGCACCACCCCCCTGCTTCGAGGCCTCTCCGGAGCTACGGTCTCGAAGCAACTCCCATCCCACCCCAGCCTCCTCAGCCCCCCGCCCTTCCTTGTGACCCCATGGGTGTGGGGGTGTCTGTGGCCGGGTCTGGCTCTCCCCATTCCAGCTTAGGGGGCTCTTGAAGGCTGGGCTGGAGCCTCACTCACTGTGATCCACTCCCCACTCACACTCAGGGTCTGAGCCACAGGGTGGGGGCCAGAGTCCCCTTGAGGAGCCCTTCAATTTCAGCCACAGAAGGGAAGCAACCATCCATTCACAGACCACTTATTAATATTATTGTTATTTTGAGAAAGTGTCTCACTCTGTCACCCAGGCTGGAGTGAGGTGGTACAGTCACAGCTCACTGCTTGACCTCCTGGGCTCAAGCGATCCTCACGCCTCAGTCTCCTGAGTAGCTGGGACCACAGGCACGCGCCACCGCACCTGGCCTTTTTTTTTTTGTTTGTTTTGTTTTTTTGAGAGAGTTTTGCTCCATCGCCGGGCTGGAGTGCAGTGGCGCCATCTCGGCTCACCACAACCTCCGCCTCCTGGGTTCAGGCAATTCTCCTGCCTCAGCCTCCCGAGTAGCTGGGATTACAGGCACGCGCCACCGTGCCCAGCTAATTTTTGTATTTTTAGTAGAGACGGGGTTTCACCATGTTGGCCAGGCTGGTCTTGAACTCCTAGGCACCAGTGACCCTCCCGCCTCGGCCTCCCAGAGCACTGGGATTACAGGCGTGAGCCGCCGCGCGGGGCAGGGCTACTCAGTCACTGGGCGCTGACAGTGTACGGGGCCTCGCATCGGGCATGGAAGCCCTGCAGATGGTGACACTCCTGGTCCCTCCCCTCCTGGGCAAGGTGGCCCGTCAGGGATCCCTGGTCTAGTCCTGAATGTGGTTCTTTCCAGACCTGTGTTTGCTGTGAGGTCCTCCTGCCTGTGTGGGTCCACCTATTGTACAGATGAGGAAACTGAGGCTCAAAGATATCTCTGCCGGCAACCACAGGCTTCCATTGTTTCCCCGAGAAGGTCCGTCCTGGGCTGAGTCACTGGGTGAGGCAGCCCGTGGGGGGGCCCCCACTCGGCCACCACCTCTGCCTAGCCCTGGGGCCTGGGTGCTGCCTCCAGGGCCCTGGGGCAGGGACAGGCAGCCAGCCAGCCTCCTGACTGCGGCCTTTATTCTGCTGTGGGGCCGGAGGAGGAGTAGGGCCTCTCCAGCTGCCACCCCTACTGTGTGCGCCCCCAGCAACCAGAACCACCTCTGTCAGAAAACTCAGACTGAGGACGAGTTCCCACGGGGGAGCGGTCGGCGCAGGAGCGGGGGGTGATGGTGCGGCCTCCGGAGGTGTGCACAGCTGTCCACACAGAGCCTGGACTCGGACCAGCACCTCGGGGCCAGTCTCCAGACTCCTGTTCCATTTGTCCCCAAGGTGGGCACCTTTGACTTCTCCGGTTCTCCGGGATATGAACACACTCAGGCACCACCCCCCGGCGCCCCCCAGCAAGGGCGAGGAGGGAGTGGCGGGGCCAGCACTTATCACCGGGCACAACAATGGGTGTTGCCTCCCAGCGACGGGCTGGTGGGGTGGGGGGGGGGCCTCCTGCTCGGGCTTAGATCGCCAGTGAAGGGCCTGATCCCAGCGCCACCAGCTCAGGACCACCCCACAGAGCCCCGGGCTGGGACTCAGCCAGAGCAGGGCCATTGCCTTGTTCTCCCTGCTGACATTCTAATTTTTTTTTTTCTTTGAGACGGAGTTTCGCTCTTGTCACCCAGGCTGGAGTGCAATGGCGCGATCTCGGCTCACCGCAACCTCCGCCTCCTGGGTTCAGGCAATTCTCCTGCCTCAGCCTCCCCAGTAGCTGGGATTACAGGCACGCGCCACCATGCCCAGCTAATAATTGTATTTTTAGTAGAGACGGGGTTTCACCATATTGGCCAGGCTGGTCTCTATCTCCTGACCCGGTGGCCGCCTGCCTTGGCCTCCCAAAGTGCTGGGATGACAGGTGTGAGCCACCGCGCCCGGCCCCATTCTTCCTGCCTTCTGGGAGGAGGTGTCTCCAGACTTGCAGGGTGGACCTGGGCCGGGAAACCTCCTGAGATTTGGGGTGGTGGGTGGCTTCTGATGGTTCCCCCCTGAAGGAGGGAGGAGACTGTGGTGTGAAATGGAGCGGAGGGGGCACCGTATAGTCTCTGGGGCCTGATCACAAGGGGTCCTGACTTCTTGGGGGCTTCCAGCTGTGAGGACACCAAGGAAGGGAAGGAGCTCACTGGCGATCAGACTCTGGCTCCTCCATCCGGACTTGTCCCCGGGAGCCAGGGGGCCAGGAGCGCTGAGTGGGAGGCTCTGAGGGTGACGGGCCGCAGCCTCACACCTCCTGCTGTCCGGACTTCAGGGAAAGGAGGACCACCTCCCACAATGACGGGTCCCCTGGGGCAGTGAACCTTGGGCTGTGACCTCAAGATCCATGAGGTCAAGGGGCAGAGAGCAGACAGCATGCCTGGCTGAGGGACAAAGGGGCTGAGGCGGGAAGGGGTGTGGGGTGTTCATGGAATGGGACTTATGAGACCAGAGCCCAGAATAGTCCAGGGGAGAGGAGCCAAGGTCAGAGAGAGGGCAGGGCCTCCTAGGCCACAGCGAGGAGCTGGGTTCTCATGGCGGGAGGACTAGGGAGCCATGGTGGGAATTTGAGCCGGAGAGGGATGTGATCACAGGATCACAGGGGCCACGAGCTGGGTGGATCTGGGGTACGTTTGGGGGATGACTGCAGGGTGTGAGGGGTTAGCAGCCCACCTGCTGGATGTGTGGTTAGGGACCTGACGTGTAAACGGGGAAACCCTTCTCTGAGTGGGGCTAGCCTGGGGCAAGGGAGAG